ACACAGCAACAACTGAATGCTACCCCAGATAGTCGTTCAGTGTGAAACCAACAGTGATGCGACGTCTTTGAAAATCGTGCAGTGTGAACTCGGCTTAAGGGAGACATACAAAATGTGCAGTGTTGGGGGGCGCTCAGGACCAGGGTTGAGAAACACTGCTATAGTATAAAGGGGTCTTTATATGTGAAAATGTATAGTTGTCTTTATATTTTTATGAAGGAGATAAGTGATGCTGTCAGCACACTAAATCCCTCTCCAGAAAGTTGCGTTTCTAATTTCATTCCCTTTAAAGCACTGCCGCTACACCCATCAAAGCAGCACATTTGTAGCAAATCCACTGCCTTCAGCAATCAATTTCAAGACAATTACAGTCAGACTTCAAATCGTCCTTCAAATGTTCCTGTTATTATGCGTAATCCATAGGTCACCATTTTTTTTGTATGTGGAAGGACTATGGTAGATTTGTGCAATCAACAGTTAGTTATTTATTATATTTTCTGGTGAATATCTGTCATATATCCTAAAGCTGCGCAAAGCACGCGTCTAATCCAGTCTCGTGGACATGACCCAAAAACCAACCCAATTATATAGGATTTCCAATAGCAATTAGTTAGAAAAAAAGTGAGTTTTGCAGTGAATGTCAGGAGAGAATAAATGGCTTGACCTTTCCTGAAGAAGGAGAGACTGAGGAGGAATGTGGCCCTCCACCTGCATGACGAAAGCCAAACCTACCAACCGCAGTATGTCTGGAATGTGGGACATTTGCTGCTTTGGACAGCTGCAACTGGGCAGTTTAGGTATGAAGTCCTGGCATGACCAATAGGTCAACGCCCAGCCCAATGTAATGTTTTCCTTCACTGCAGTAGAGCAACACAGCACCTGCTGCACCATCACTACATTCCTAGGGGTGCAACATTAAAGTATCTCTCTCTCACTTTCTCACTCTGAATCTCCTAGCAAAACAAATGACCTTAACTGCACAAATAAAAATAACTGGAGAGTTTTAATCGCTGTAAATGTCCCAAAATACCTTCAAACATGACGATGCCATTAAGTCATTTTAAGAAGCTATTTGTTTCTCATTTCCTGATAGTAAATGTAATTCATGATTTTTTTTCCCACAAAGTGCACATGTTTTAGATTAGAAACACCTGTTATCCATTAGACAGCATCAGTGAACTGTTTTTGCATGTATTTTGGTAGCACTGAATATGAATTCAGTGCTAATTTGGATTGCTGTATTTAAGAGTGATAATCTGATAATCATTTTATAAAACTGACCAGATCTGTTACTCATCTGTTGTGTTCAGCTCGCCCACTGCTCTAGAAAGATGTAACCTACTGAGAATGTCAGTTTGCATAATATTCTTAGGGCCATGTTTAATACACATATTGTGTAATTCTTTCTTTGAGGCTTTGTGGGACTTTGGTCTTCAAGCTTTTGAGTCTTGTAAATCTTTTTTTTTTTTTTGTATTAAACACAGTGCTTCCTGGGAAAAACTGAAACATGAGAAGAGATTGTTGCACAGCTGGGACATAGACTGATCCTTTTGTTCTCATCTAG